GAGAGAGAGAGAGAGAGAGAGAGAGAACCCATTATCTTAATATAAATCGATGCATAGCTGCATCAGCCCAGCTGGAGGGCGTAAGAAGGCTGAAGCACGGCTCGCACCATGGGCCATGACGGCCGGACATCCGGGCCGCCGCCCACGGGGGCTGCTTACACTGCTATGTCCTCGCAGAAGGAGAGAACCTCGTCGTTCTCTGCCTCTGGGTCGTGAAGGGCGTTGTACTTCACAAGCGCTCTCTCACTTCCCTTTTCATTCTGGAAATGCATGGGGAAAAAAAACAAGAGAAAGATTACCGTTAAGCAAAATAAATAAATAAATATATGAAATTACTGAGCAGAGATTCATTCAAAATAAAAGGTAAGAAGAAGCTCTTTCGAAACTCCAAAACTAACTTGAAACGAAAATATTGCCTTAAAAACTCAATACGTCAAAGGAAAACTCAATAAAACATAAAAGAAATGATTTTTGTTTCAGGGTCTCCTGAGGTTGGCCAAGCGGTCAGTCCTGGAGCACCACTGAGGTTGGATGTAATGTTCACTACAGGATGACATGCTGAGTATAGTGAGTAATATCAGCATGTCACATGCGAGAATTATCTGTACTTTATTGTTTTGTGGCTTAGCTAGCCACCACCTGACAGGCAAAAGGGGAATGTTAAAAAAAAAGGAACTGCTTTGGAATACAGCTATCCCACAAGGTAGTCCAAGTACAGAGTGACTACATATACAAGTGAATTTAATACCCTTTACTGAGTCATGACTGACGGTGAGGCTAATTTTTCACAGTTACGAGTAAGAAGACCTGGGCACAAGGTAAAAAATTAAATTAAAACCACAGTATTACACAGAAACCAGCAAACAAACATGCTCTATTAGCAATTTGCACAAGTACAGGTGCATTAGAATGTTTCTCTCAAACATGTTGCTCAAAAATGTTGCTCAAGGGCTCTGCCAGGGCTGGGGCAAAAACCGGCGACCTTCTGATCACAAGCACAGTGACTTGAGCCACTCTCTTGGCTAGCCGAAACCAACACAAACATAACTCAAAATAATTTAAAATATAACATTTTAAAGAAATGAACAATAAACCAGTGATGAAAAGAAAAACAACATTACAGATTCTGGGTAGAATTACAACATCAATGTTAGTTTGCAACAGCTATCCTCTTCAGCCAGTTAGAGTGAATGGTATGAGGAGACTGTGTATAAGACAGGGCATCCCCCAAACCAAAAAAACAGCCTCATACAGGGTACACACTGTCCTAGAACGAACGAGGTCTAAGACTGTCCCAGAAACCACAGGGTGTTCCAGATAGCAGCAGGTCTAAGATAGGGTACCCCTGAACCAGATCTCATCCCATCCCATCACATGCATACTCCCTCATTCACAAGTGTATAGTCTGAGGAACAGGCAGAATTCAGTGGAACTGCATATCCACAGATGGTGAGAGGAGAGGAAATAAAAACAAACAAGCAAGCATGCACAAATGAATGCGTTGTTAATGAAGAGAAATCACGCAGACCATGAGCCCTACAGGCACAGCTCATTCAAGCTTTGCAACCTGAAGGTGCAATGCAACACATCTACTCACTGAGCTAGCCTGCTGCACACAGCACAGCAGGGCACAGCAGAGCACAGCACATGCAGAGCATAACACAGCAGAGCACAGCAGAGCACAGCAGCGGCCAGATAACAGGCACTCCAGAAAAAGTGTGATTGAGACTGACAGGATTAGCTCTTATCAGGACAGACACATGACTCAGCCTGTTTTTATTTTAAAAGAAAATCTATTTTATACAGTCCAGACACGTTGGGTAGGGAAATACACAATACCAACAAAAGTCAGATTATGGGGAAAGTTGGCCCGAACTACAATTGGTGAATGTGTTTTGATTGGGGGGAGGGGGACACACCACTATTTCAGAGATCAGTGACCTCCACCCTATGAACAATGAGGATGAGGATGTGAATTCTATTCACAGCTAAACAAGTCACATGACGTTTTAAAATACTATCCACCTGGGACTTTGTGCCAAACAGCAAAAGTTTCCTTGAATATCCTTTAAAGGAATTTCTCACAGTAGGCCAGCTTGTGCAGAAATTCACCGACACGGGGCTAAGAAAAGAAAACACCCACATGGTACCAGCAAATCTAACCACATCAATTTGAAATTCCTCTTTAAAAGAAAAAGGTCCCTGGCTGGAGATTCGGCATGGTTATGATGGCGGTGTTGAGCACAGGCCTGCCCAGTGGTGACAGGGTGTCTGTCATAACCAGCAGTTACCGGAGAATAACTGGGAACGTTGGGACGCACTGGCATCCAGTCCAGGGTATCTCCTAAACTTTCCCTGTTATCCAGACTGCAGGTCACCACCACCCTGCCCTACAGCAGTTGGATGGATGGATGCATGGATGGATGGATAACCAAAGAATTACTCCAGGGAAGGTTCCCAAAAACACTAAATCACTCATCTCCTGAAATAGTTTAAGTGATTCTGAGCCTTGGGTGTTTTACATGCATTACATATATTAGGCTTCTCCGTGACAACTACTCATTCATTGATACCACAAAAGGTTCAATTAGTAGGTATGCAGCAACATAGGGGTGTCACCAGATCTCACGATATTACAACATGACGAGATTCCCATCGGAGTGAAAAGCGATCTGGTGAAGGCGCTGCAAATCAGCTGCTGTAAGCATGTCGGCATCTGACGAAATCACCATAGTAGATGCCCCAAACACTTTTAAATCTTTTGTGTGGCAGCATTTTGGGGACCCGGCGGAAAATATAAACGGCAAGATAGTGGCAGACAAAACATCTGTAAGCATTGTAAGAAAATAATGCCGTACACAGCTGGCTGACGCTACTGCTATGCAAAGCCATTTTCAGCACCATCATAGCTCTTTACTTAAATCCACTGCACCGGTGAAGAAAACAACATAAAAAAATGTTTTATGTTTGTTATTTATATTGTTTTATTTCTATTCTATTTTATGTTCAATTGAGTAGTCAAACACGAGAGAAGCTTGTCATTTGAGTTTGTGGTGAAATATTTTATGGTGCTAGATATGTGTTCTGTTCTTTACTGCATATGATGAGGGTGATTATTTAAAACATTTCACCATACATCTGCATTATTTAGCATTTTTTGTCTTGCAAATTAATCAAATAAAACGCTGTTTTCCAGTAATATATTTCCTCTTGGAAGATTTCCTTAAAATATTGTTAAAATATCGTCTCGTCTCATTCTCGTGAACCCAAATATCATATCTCGTCTCGTGGGCTGAGTATATCGTTACACCCCTACATCAACACCATTTCTTCTAGACCGAGTACCAATATTCACTTCTGGCACTCAGCAATGCTACAGCTTAGAGCTTGGCGATGTCGAAAAAAATGCTATTTTTAAATTTCAATTTATTAGGATAAACAACACTACTGATGCACACACAGGCACACACGTACACGTCGTCTACACCGTGCAGATCATCTTTTTTCAATCTTTGTGAAAAACGATGGATCAGTGGGCCAATTTAATTATTTCGAAATATGTTGCCAGCCGTCTAAAACCAAGGTGCACAAACTTTTTCCACCGTGTACCACCTCAGATAGCATTACGCCCTCCATGCTCCATCTTTACGACATTCGGTTTGACCGTCAAGAACAAAATACTGGGTAAGAGCTTGTTATTTTCTCTACACAAGCGTGATCTTTGACATTTCCTCTCTCCATGCTAGTGTTTGCTGTACAATGAATGATGCTGGTGGCAATTTCATCATACTTTCAGGTCAGGGTTATTCAAATCACGGTCCTCGAGGTCCGAGCGCTGCTGGTTTTCCAGCCTTCCTTTACCTGTGAGCCAGGTGTGAAGCCTCTGACCAATCAGAATCAGTAATTACTAAATGGGAGAAATGAAAACAAGGCCTGGATTTGGAATCGAGGTCCAGATTTGAAGAGCTCTGTTTTAGATGGTTAATTACATGTTGTGTCAACTTGTTTCTGTACTTCATGATATTTTAGCAGTTTGCAGTCTGCTATGCAGTGGTTTTAATTAATTTTGAAGTACTTCCACATTTTGTGGTGCCATTTATTTCGCTTGTTAACGATATTGCTGATAGTGCGTCACGCTATATTGGTTAGAGGCATCTGCGTAATGTACTCATACTCATCCTTATGACACGAGCACTGTACTGGTATCGATGCACTCCTAGCAACACCCATTGCAAGTTAACACAGTCAGTGCCAAAAAGACACAGCACAGACCGCGGTGCATTCAGCACAAGAATGTTCCTATTGTTGGTAAAGGTGCAACCTGCAGCTTGCAGGAGGGGCTCAGTTGTTGCACCTTTGAACTAAATACTTAACCTTTTTCTATCAGTTCTAGCAGAGAGCAACTGTTACTTTGCACAGGATTTTGATACAGTGCTTTTTAAGCAGCTGACAGGTAAGATCTCCACGTGCCGTCACATGACATCCATAATAGCTGTTTACGCCTTTATGTACATGTTATACATTAACCCTGCAAAGAGGGCAATCAAACACCAGGGCTGCTACACCCTGTATTATAACTGCAGGAAAGGGTTTTATACAAAAGCCTGTTGGATCAGAAGGGTCACGGTCACACTTGCCTCACTATCAGCCCGGCTGGTTGACATGACCTGAGGTTTTCTTCCAGTGTGACTTGAGTCACTTGGCAGTTACGGTACATTAGCCAACGCGTCCCTAGTTTTTCCACACGGCTGGGGGATGGAATTCAGGCTGCATACGTGGACTTCAGGAGCTGCTCCCTCTTTCCCGGGTGGGGAGTGGAAGGGGCACACTGGCAGCATATTGTGGAGCTTATCTGGCCAGAGATGAGCAAAGCAAGGCTGGCTTGATCCTACTAAGGGTTTATGAGTCTGACATTTCACCTTCCTTCACAGTATCTGTCGTCCTGGCCAGTCATCCAAGACCGTTCAGGATGCTCGCCACCTATGCCGCCCCGCCCAAAGAGAAACCACGCATGTCATGCTTCCATGACACCACAGAACAGGCTCCTTTGGCTCAGCAGACCAATGACTGCGGGACTCAGGAATGCCATGTCGTCCTCTTCATGCTGACTAATCCAGCAATTCGTACACATGGGCAAAGTGCCTCATTGTGTATATAACACACCATTACATCAACACGCAGCAAAAACACAACCAAGAATTACATTTAAAGACAGCATCCAGTAACTCTTCAAAGACCACTTGTTTCTATTGTCAAGAATAGTCCTAAAGCACAGGTCTTTGATCCTGTTAACATGGTAAAAGAATCACCTTATACAGAATTTCCAACGTTCAGCCCCCACACCCCTATATGTATTCCCTGCTTCGGATGAATTGTGCAATGTCAGACCAAATGTCCCATTACGACACCTGGCAGCACAATGAAACAGGAAGTGGGCTTTCTGGGAAAAGTGTGCACCTATGAGAAGAAAACAGCTCACCTCCAACGAGTTTTGAGTCAGGAAATGTCTTTTTTTTCTCTTTGGAAGTTAACTAACACTGACCGTATAAAGTCGATGCAGGAAATGAAATGCATATAAAAACAACGAGGGGCTTATGGCGAGAAATAAAAGGGCCAGAGGTCATTTCAACTGGTCTCAGTTTTTAAATGAAACTGTATGTTATACCAACAGACAGCAAAACCCTAATAAAATCAAATAATGATGTGGAGGGATAGAAAGGCTAGATTTGGTCACAACACTAGATCTTAAATCTGAAACTGAAATCACTGATAGCTGTGCATTACTCCTGCTTTGTAGCAACTCCAAATAATACTAATGCTGAATTAGCAACAACACAAGTTTACATATAACAGAGGTATCTGACATCTAATTCTGCGTATAGGTGGCGAAATTCGCACACAAAGATATTAGCTGACTGTCAGCTGTTATAAATCACCTGACCACCATACCTGGTTGCTCTGGGTTTCTGATGAAAACGTTGAAGGGATGTTGAGGGAATTGCGTCTGGGCAAAGTCATCTCAGCGGAGCTCCTTAGGGCAGGGTGCTGGCTCTTCCCCCGAGCTGGGGGGCTGCCAGCAGCTCCGCTATCACCATCATCCAGCAGCACTGCATCCCATGGGTCACCCACCCGCTCAGTCACAGCAGCCCCCACAGCAGGAGGGGCCTCTTCTCCATCAAGCTTGCACTTGGTGAGTGGGTCCAGGTCTAGCCAATCGAAGCGGCTGATGTTGGGGGGTTCTGAGGCTGGCGGCTTGGGGGCAAGGGATTTAGCGCTGCCAGGGTCCAGGTCAGTGACAGCGGACTTCCCGTTCTTCAAGTACTCGGAGGTGCTGGCAATCTTGTCGAAGAGCTTTGCCATCTCTGGGTCGACGGCGGGAGGTTGGTAGACGACCGGAGTGGGGGGCTGCATGGGGCTGAAAGCCACAAAAGGAGACAAGTAGAGGGGCTCGGAAGGCCTAAAAAGCATCCCAGCAGTAAGGCCATTCTGGAAGGAGCCGGGCGGCTTGGAGAAAGGGGCAGAGGCGAAGATGGGGGTCTGCTGGTGGGCTGGGGTAGACAGAGCAGAGGCAGAAGGGGTGCCAACGGCAGGTGTCCAAGGGCCACTGTGAAACGGAGCTCGGTTATACGGCTGACTGCCAGGGAAGGAGGCACTGAGGTTGCACCCCAGCAAGGAGGAGGGTCTGGAGACCTTGCTGTTTGCCTCAAAGCTGTCGTCCAGCAGAAGTTTCTCCAGCTCCTCTGTGGTGAGCTTCTCGACATCAATATCCTGGAACTTGTCTTTCTCTGCCCTCTTCTTGGCCTCTGACTCTGGGAAGACGATGAGGTCTTTCTCTGGCCTGCTGGTGGAGGCCCTCTGAGCTTCACGGCTCAGGGATTTAGCAGCCGAGGAAGATGTGGGATGGGTCTGCCTCTTCACCTTCTGCAGCTTGGCCAATGCCTCGACTTCCATGCGCAGGGCCTCCTCCTTACCCACAATCCCCTTTGGTCGTCCCTCCATAGGTGGGGACAAGTCCTGCTTGAATCCGTTGCCACTGGATATCTGGGCCATGGTGTCAACTAGATGGTTCCATGTATGAATGATAGAATGTCCTCTGCTGGTATCAATGTATTCCAAGATGGAGTCAGATCACAGTCCTGAAATACACACAAAGAAAAACAGATAACCGTACACAAAATGCACAAACGGGTTGCAAATGACTCATTTGCAAGAATGAAATTCAGTTAGCATTTTCAGTTACCCTAGTCAATAACTGATTGCCCAGCTCTGATGAGAATGAATTCATACTCATGAGATATTTTAATGGAAGTCTTCAGAGACTCACATGCTATCCTCTATTTTAAGTCTCCACTAATAGGCAAAGGCAACACAAGCAAGTTCTTTGCTTTGATTGAAAAAAAAAAAAACTGATTAGTCTTAAGTAAACAATCAACATGATCGACGTGTTCTCGTATGGATGTCCACAAAAACAAGAAGAGAGAGCTTGCACACATTTTTGCTTCATGGGTTCAGCGAAGCATGAGCTGTAGGAAAATGACGTCTTTCCACACAAAAAGATTTGACAGACTGAATAACATAGGAGGGAGACCAACCGTACTGTTCCAGGAATGACATTTTCATGTCATGTAGTCTTAATTACAGGGGTATTAGGATTAAGGATTACAGTAATTGAGCTTTTAACATCTTTATTGCAATCTGATATTTAATTCGGTAGCAAGTAGACATGTTTTTTTTTGCCCTGCAGTCTGTGCTTTTTATGTCTGCCACAAAATCGTTTCAACAGAATTATGGTCGCACTACTTCCACAGAGAAGGAGTGACAACACAGTTTATGAGGAACTTTTAAAAAGGGGAAGGCAGAAGTCAGATTTCAAATAGAAAGAACACTAATGCCTGCACAACAGCCCTGGTGAAAAGGGGAATAGAATCACGACAGCTAACACGGCCAATGCCTGCACACCTCTCTATGCCATTAGGACGACATTGAACACAGCCTTCAAACCTGTGAGCAGGCCTCCCGCCAACACGGGCAATGCTTGCACACCTCTCTATGCCATTAGGACGACGTTGAACACAGCCTCCAAACCTGTGAGCAGGCCTCCCGCCAACACGGCCAATACCTGCACACCTCTCTATGCCATTAGGGTGACATTGAACACAGCCTCCAAACCTGTGAGCAGGCCTCCCGCCAACACGGCCAATGCCTGCACACCTCTCTATGCCATTAGGACGACGTTGAACACAGCCTCCAAACCTGTGAGCAGGCCTCCCGCCAACACGGCCAATGCTTGCACACCTCTCTATGCCATTAGGACGATGTTGAACACAGCCTCCAAACCTGTGAGCAGGCCTCCCGCCAACACGGCCAATGCCTGCACACCTCCCGATGCCATGAGGACGACGTTAAACACAGCCTCCAAACCTGTGAGCAGGCCTCCCGCCAACACGGCCTTTCACAAGCCAAGCTTTTCCCTGATTGAAAAGGAACTGAAATAAAATGACACATCTTAAGAGGGCTATTCCCAAATGCTCTTATGTCGACACTCATGCAATGACACCATTAAAGCTCCGTCAGCAAACATTTTTTTGGGGTTCTGTACCCACCCTGCTGTACACGCCACCAGTTCAGCTGCATCTCAGCTAGCCTTCACCCAGAACTACAAACTTCACAACTTTCTGTGCTCACAGGCAGTGAGTCAGAGCCCAGGTCCCAGAAATGACACAGCTCCACAAGGGCGCCCCTTCCTTCCTCTGTAGCGCAGCAGTACGCTACGCCTGGGCCTACTATGTCAAACTGAAAGGAATCTGGAATGCAAGGCAGCCAGACAGGACTCTCCGCCGCACAGTCGGCTCCTGGGTAACATGCCAGTTCTTAGTCTTATCAGCTGAGCTAATAAGCAAGGAGAGCTTTGGAGCCCAGCTGTGGCAACAGAAACAGATTAGCTAGCCATCTAAGTTCTTAGCAAAGGCGATGCTGGCTGTATTTCAACCTTAAAATTGTGCAGGCTGGAACATGGATGGATGAGTATGGTTCCTCAAAATACTAACACCTATACATTGTAAGCGGAAACACAAGAAAGAACTTGTCACCCCCCAGGATACAGCTCTGCGAGCAGCTTTGAGCAAAGAAAATGGGCATGAACACAGAGAATGAGGCAAAGTTTCCTTTTAGGCTCATACAAAAAACTCAGTGGACCGGAGGTAATTCCGCTTGCATTCTCAGAAAGTCCCAAATACTTGCAGAAGCAATGGCAGCCATGCTCTTCAGGGGGGGGGTAAAAAAAAAGCAAAAAGTTTCACGTGCCAGATCCAATGAGGAAATAAGGTCGCAATAAACATTTACATTCTCTCTCACAGATCATGTTATAAACAAACACCAAAATCATACTGTCATCACCCCAGGAGCTGGAAAGAAAAGGAATCAGCAGCTACAACTCAAAAGAATATTTTCACACAAATGGCTACTGTGTTTCGAAAGCCCTGTTAAGGAAATCTAAAGATGCTAGGGCTAGAGACAGAATTGAGAGAAATCAAAAGCCAGAGGGATGTGTGTATCAAAAGCTTAACCTTTCCCATGTCTGCATCCCAAACTGGATAAGCAAATGTTTCATCCCCCTGCTCCTCAATCAGAACTGAAGAAATGTAGCCCAACACAGCTCCATAAAAACAAAGGGAGAAAAAAAAAAAAGAAGCTCATTCTCCATTCTGCCACAGGCAGTGACAAGATACTAAGCAACAGCTCAAAGTACAAAATCTTTAAACAAGAAATGACTAACTACTTCATATTCTCAGGGTTTAAAGATTTGTTTTTACAGCATTTGCCTTTCAAACGGGCAAATTTAATTGAACAATCTTAGACTGTTTTTTGTCTTAGTTGCAGAGGGAACGGTTCTTGTACAGAGTAGAAAATGTAGGAAGGGTGAGCAAATGCTCAAAAGTTCATTTGAGAAAACAGTAAACAAGAAAACAGTCACATCTGTATGCCTGGGGTATAACCAGAGAATTCCAGTTTCAGCATTTACCCTATAATAATTAACATGGACTGGCTTTCCAGAATGCCACCAGGGAGACTGGAGTAAACGTGTCAGAAATAATTAAAGACAGTACTCCGACAAATCATTTTATTTTATGATACAAAAAGCAACACAGCCTCACTGGAGGGGGGCAAAGCCAAACAAGTGGTGAAAAAAAAGCTTTCACATAAATGACAGACACCGAGAGGGGGTGGGCTGCACACTATGCCCTTTGCAAACGATGCATTTACACAGTGCGACTTCATTCCACAAATGCACAATCCTGCTGTCTAGAGACCAGCCTCTTAGATTCAGCCACAGATGAAAAGATAACGATTCAAATTGTTCCTGGGGGCTGCAATTATTTGGGCTGACGGGCAGATTAAGAAAAACACAGGAGCAGGAGCTGAACCTCTGCTGTAACGCGGCGATAAAGAAAGCCAGTAAAAATTAACTCAGTTCGCCAGGAACAGACGTATCTCCAAAGGAAATTGCTAAAACCAAAATAAATAACAACAATTTGCATCAAGCGGTTTTCGATTAGTACAAACTTAAAACAAATACCTTTTCTTGCCTAATTTTCCATCTATATTATTAAAATTAAACTAAAAGGAAATCAAAGCACCTCTAATTCGGCTCACTGGACAGTATGCAACCTGCAACGTATTATTTAAAGTATGCAATTTATAAAAATATATTGCCTATAATTACAGCACTTGTCACGTCAGACAATTCTATGATGAGTAGCTTTAAAAAAATCATGAAAAATTAGCCTGTAAATTTAAAAATGTATGAAAACTAACATCTGATCATATTGCGTAATTATGATATTGCAGGCATAACTAAATTGCGGCAAGGCTTCACATAAAATATATTTGTGACCATGCCGAAGACGGTAATAACATTCGAAATACACTACATGTAGCCAAATTAAGAACAGAACACACAGTTATGCAAATTAAAAATACAAAGAGTGCTGGCTCTCTAAAACTCCACGATTCTTAACGAGAATCGTGCAGGGAGAAAGGCAGCGCCTGTGATACATGTACAATCTCACCGTCGGGGTAATCAACGCAAAATGATCATTTAATCCACGGATAAACACCTGTATATCCATACAATCCACATATGCATCCTACCTGGCGTAACAAGCTACAACAGGCGTAAACAAATTACAAAGCGCCAGTAACTTTTCAAACCCGCCATCCACATACGGAATCGTAGCAATCAGAAAAAACATGTATATTTAGCCAGTGCTTTAAGAACCTACTGTTTACCCGTCATCAGCTTGCCGACGGAAAAACATCAACTATTTGAAGTTCCTTCTGCCTGCTGATCAACTTTATACAATACTGAATAATTTAAAACATCAATAGTGACCGGCCAACAAAGTGAAGTTCAATCAAAAACAGGCATCGTCTATTTTCAGAACAAGGCCCGAGTAACTGCTGGAGGCGAAGCAAACGCGCTCGCCACGCTGTCCTAACTTTTGCATCGCAAGGTTTTAGAAGAATGATGATAAAATTCCTACCTTTCTAACTTGGCGATCGCTGGAGCCATTTTCCTGCAGTTAGAAATGTATCCATCTACTCGCAGACACAACGTCAGTTCCTGTCTCGGTCCTTGCGGTTGCGCTAGTAATTATGTGGCGTAACAATGACACCCTGTGGATCTCCTGAGCAATAAAACTTTTATTTAGTTGCAGAATTGTCTTCCAGAATTCTCTATTAATACAGTGATTAATATAAACATGATCACACCAGGGACTGGGATTCAAGTTCTACATCTGCTCTATGCGCTTATGGAGTTTGCTTGTTCCCCGAGGTTCCAAAGTCATGCACAGGCCGTATATACTGTAGCTTGTCTTGCATGTGCATCCCTAGCAATGCCATGCATCTTGTCTCAATTGTACCACTGCATTGCATTGCAAAAGTACATAATGAGGCATTTTATCTAGCAAATGCTTTTACATGAAATGACATGCAATTCAAAGAGCAGGGTCAGGTAATCCCTAGAGAAATGGTAAATTCACTCTAACCAACCACACGATCACAGACATTACAGCATGTTAGTTCATTAGTTGTGCATCTCGGAATGATAAGTATGTGGCTTAACATGCTCTTTATTTGTACCAGCTTTATGCTGAAAAGATTGACACTATTTTTTGAAAAGGAAAACAGTTTATTCGTCCTGTCTCACATGTAACATTATGGTTATAGCTGGTTTCTACAAGAAAAACAGCCTAGTCTGCAATTACTAACAGCATATTATAGTCGCCCCACCTGAAATCCACCATGTTATACGTATGTAAACCATTCTTATTTTCAAAAGGCCTGTATTTCCATTTGTCATTTTTTAATCTAGTCATGTTTTATGTAGTAATATTTTGATGTCGTGCTCTAATGACTGTTTTTCTTTACTAGTTAAATGTTTCAAAACATTGCATTTCAAGTTTGCTAACAGGTTGCATGTTCTAAATATGATTGCCTTTATCCATCAAAGTTCCCCACCAAACAAGCAAAAGAAGCTTTGGAGTCATTTCAGTATATATTATTAAATAACTTTGTCAGCTGAAGTATTTCTAGAAGCTTTGAAGCTGACATGCTTACAAACAGGAGTCTTGGTTTTGCACCTCTCAGAGCCAATAGCAACTGACAGGAAGTGGTGTAAATGGCAAAGAAGCGAGATATCTGTCCGACCCACAAAGGTCAATCCCCTTTAGTACTGTCATATTGCGTGTCTAACATCTAGAACTCAGACTATATTTCATAGATGAAGCTTTTTATGCTCATCTTTTCACTTTGTCGAAGTAGGGGGGCAGGGAGTGGGTCAGTGGGCTAAGTCTCTGTGCCTGTGATCAGAAGATTGCTGCTTCACATCCTGACCTCAGCAGAACAGTCTTATCTCTGTGGGACCTTAAGCAAGGGCACTATACACTAGCCAATTCTATGCTGTGACCCCCCCCCCCCCAACAAGATATGGACATTATGATGGGGCCAGCAAAAGTTACGTTGCAAATGGCAAATAAAGTATGTTTGTTAATTGGACTTTCTCATCCTTGTGCTAGAGACAACGTCACTAGAGCCATGCCATTTCACAGGCACTGAATTGTCCTGAGAATTTACTAGGATACATGCAATGTATTTCAACAAATAGCACACACTTCAAGGGAGATCACCACCACGTTTTGCTTACAGACTGTAAAGTAATTCTCAGGTATTAAATACTTTCATCCTAATATTCATACTGTCACACATTCGTGCACCAAACCTCATTGGGGTCTCCTTTTTCTGATAGCTCAGCGAATGTATCACCTCTGCGTTTCTTTCATGACGGTTTCAAAATGTCATCTTTGTTTTAGCCTCATGGGAGACCAGTAAATGACCGAGGTTGTCACTCGATCACTCACATTCCAGACTTACTACACAACATAGAGTAGGATTTGCGCATGTATCTTCATCTCTGCGCTCAGTCTGTGTTTGAAATCTAGTTATATATGCATTTTATATGTTGTTCAAATTGTTGTGAAACAGGAGCTAACCAGGCACTTGTTATATATTGAATGAAGCAAACAATGTAAGACACTTTCTGAAAACGCAAAAAAAAAATGAAAATGTAACAAGAATGTAAAATGTAAAAAGAAATTTACCGCTCACTGTACACTACTGGACGTCGGTTTAAACTGATCATTTCCCTAAAAAAACATTATCTGTTTTTAAAATCCCCCCACCCCCACATGGTCCCCCCCTGACATCACAAAGTGAGCTGGTTCATATGAGCGCCACGTACGTTTCGCCTCAACGTAACTTGCTGGAAAAATTGATTTGCAAATGGATTAACCGACAGGCGCTCCACCCAATAATTTTCCATTAACTGTGACAGAAATGTTGAAAAGAGACTATTTGTGTCCAATGAACACGACGGTGGGCGGGCGGTTGCTATGGCAATCGGTCGCGTAATAGGAATTTTTGTCTAAAGGGGGTGGGTTTAAAAAATTATGCACAAAAAACAGTCCTGTGACATACAGCGAGGTGGCTTCCTAGAAGTGAATGAAACATCTGAGTAAGAATCAGCGCAAGGGACTGGAAAAGGAACTTGACAGCTAGCTAGCCAACAAAGTAAGTGAACATTTACTTAGGAAAATGTCAATGATCTGAGATCTCTTCCTTAGATGTTGGAGGAATCACAGTATAAGTAAAGTAGCCTACCACAGCTAGCTAGCTTTGTAAAATATATATGCATATTTTGTGTTTCCTGAATGAACTGGAATATCGCAGTCACTGGTCATTAGTTCGTTCGAAATATACATTAGTGGCAGAATACCGCTCCATAATAATTGTACCAGAACCCTGATGTCAGCCCCTCGCAGAAAATTGGAGAAAGTGAAAAAAGCGGAAAACAAAACCAGATAGTTTCACATGGGCTTTTTTATTACCCTGGAGGCAAGTGATGGCTAACTGACGGTGCACTACACTGCTCAGGTAGTGTAGTGTACAGTATATAGCTAATGAGGTCTGGCAAAGCATCACTAAACCGGTTAGGTAAGTCGAGCTGACCAGCATCAGACCGCAAGCAGCACAAACTCATACTGGTCATCGGTCTAGCTGGACATTAATGCAATTACACTAAGTTTCTACAGTGCATTAGAAATAAAAATACATTATCATCCTATTTTCCCTAATGAAATGTGTAGTTTTCAATAATGATTGTAAATTGCCAGTCAGTATTCTGCGATTATTATATTCATATTTTTTTAATTCAAAAATGTTTGAAATGAAGTGCATGTATGCTTACTTTGTAAAAATGGGATATCTGTGATTAAGTACATATCCCACGTAGTGCAGCCTAACCTGTAATAAACGTGAGACATGCTCTTTGGGTGTGACTCACCGTTGGATAAATAACTGCTGTAAATGATGTTGCTCGAATGGCACTGATGGACAGCGGACTCACGGTTAAACCTTTCGTTCCTGTGTGTTTTAAATGTATTTACAGATGAGGTGGAGTAGGAGGTTCAGCCGCTGTTGCTTATTTCTTATAAGCCTGATGATCTGTTCAGCGGCAGTGCCCATTAGTGTGGACAAGACAAAGGTGAGACTCCCTGAAGAAAAAGCCCAAGAGCCGCCGCAAAGTGTGGTAAGTGTCTTGCGATTGAGAAACGACGCTTAATTTTAGGCGTAAGATAAGCACTTCCGCAGGCTGCAACGGCACGTTCAACCTAAAATCTTAAGTACTACGAATTTTAGGGGAAAATCATGAACTTCTACTAAAACATCCACTAGCATCAGAATCGAAGCTCAGTTTATACTTGTAACCACTGTTGAAACCAATGTTTCATTACTGACAAAGATAAAAGATATATTCATATCATGTAACAAATATTTTATATTTGCAGTATTGATGTTAGGGGACTATCTTTTTTCTTCCTTAGAAGCTTGTCTAATTTTTCTCTTGCATTCTTAGTGAAATTTGTTGTTTGGATTTAATATAAATTGTGGCAGCAGGACACTGGACTGCACTATGACCGTTACCTCAGAGAAGTTATTGACTTTCTGGAGAAAGACCAACATTTCCGAGAAAAGCTCCATAACACAGACATGGAGGACATAAAGGTACCAAAAGAACAAATTTTGTATTTTTTTTTATTTATTTGCATATTTTACATTTTTTGTAATAAAGTGTTTTCAAACAGCAAGGGAAGCTTGCCAAAGAGCTAGACTTTGTTAGCCATCATGTGAGAACGAAACTGGATGAGTTGAAGAGGCAAGAAGTGGGAAGGTTACGGACACTGATCAAAGCCAAACAAGACATCGAAGGAGGGAAAGGTATCCGGGCGTTTCTGTACCCCTCCCTGTTCAGACTTGCCTGTACTCAAGGATTTGGGTGACCGCCACAAACTCAAGATCTGCTTTAACAGTATAAATCCTTATTTCCATTTCTCAGCAAGATTGCAAAAGGAACAAATGTGTTTTGTCCAAGTCTGCAGTTATACCAGTGGCTTGCATACAGTTTGTAATACAGCATGTCTGCAGCACAGGTTTTAGAGAACGTGAGGGGTGTTTGTAGAAATCTAGTATCTGGTTTTTGATTGTTTTATTGCTAGTAAGACCACAGCTGAATCAATTTGCTTGATAATTTATTGCATAATCTGTAGCTTACCTTACTTCGGTTTCCTTCAGATATATCAGTGGATCACCAGGCCTTGCTCAAGCAGTTTGAATACCTAAATCACATGAACCCCCACACCTTTGAGGTGGAAGATCTAGATCGACTCATCAAATCAGTAGGTACTTTTGTGGGGTTGCTTCCCAAAACTAACTGCCAGCGGTGAGGATTATTTTCAACATGAAACTCATGAGATGTTTTCCTGATGATGCATCCATATCTGAAACATCTGAAACCCTACCTTCTTAATGAAATTCTGCTGAGATCTGGTTAGAAGTTTACACCTTTCCCTGCATAATTTCAATACCCATTAATAATGTCAGTCATGACAGTTCATCCACTTGCAGCTAGTATCTGTAGAACTTAATGTGCAACAACAAACTGGCTTGCCATAACTGACAATCCAGGGAACTATTAAAAGCACAGAGTTAATTGTGTGATCTCACATTTCAAAGAACTGTGCATGATAAGATATCCATAGCTGTATAATTAATTTCAGCCAAGTTTTTTGAGATACAAGTAAAACTGCGACACCCACCCAACAGCCGACAGTTTAATTCATCCAGACAAACTGAACAGTTCAGCAGATCCACCATTTAGCTTTGCACTTTCTTACAACTGCTTTGAAAATTGTTGATTGGGAGAAACTGCACCTGTGAGCATGCATTTCTCTCTGACTTGCAAAAGGCAACAAGAGACCTGGAGAATTATGACAAAGAGCGTCATGAGGAGTTCAAGAAGTATGAGATGATGAAGGAGCACGAACGCCGGGAGCACTTAAAGACGCTGGATGATGAGGGGAGGAAAAAGGAAGAGGAACACTATGAGGAGATGAAGAAGAAGCATGCTGACCACCCAAAGATAAACCATCCGGTAAGGCCATTAAGAATCCTACCAGGCACTTCTTAGGGAATGCTGAATTCTGCTCAAGGTTGGAGAAACCCAAATACACTTTTTAGAATATAAAAAATGGTGGCTCTGTCAAAACATCTAGCAGAATTGTGTGGTGTGCAGGGCAGTCAGGACCAGCTAAAGGAGGTCTGGCAAGAGGCCGACGGTTTGGACCCTGAGGACTTTGATCCAAAGACTTTCTTCAACTTGCATGGTATGACTGGCATCAGAGTTACAACGTCAATGAGTTTATCCATTTAAAGACAATAATTTTCATATTTTAATTATCATTCAGATTTTTTTGTATGTTTTTTCAGACACCAATGGAGATGGTTATTTTGATGAACAGGAGCTGGAGTCATTATTTACAAAAGAGGTACTTGTTTAAAGTTCCCAGCTACATGGCGTGCTCTTGTGGAATTTGAAAAATGACAGCACTCTGTTGCTTTAGCTTGAGAAGATCTATGATCCCGCCAATGAGGAAGATGACATGGTGGAAATGGAGGAAGAGAGGCTTCGTATGAGGGAACATGTCATGAACGAGGTCTGACTGAAGAGCTGTTTGCAAGTTACTTGCTGCTGCATTGCTATATTGCATAACCGTAGCAAAAAGAGGAACTGTTAAGTGTGATGTTTCTTATAAGCATATCAAAATCATCTCTAGCTGGCTTTTAGTCAGTGGGCTGTTGTTTTTTTAGGTGGACACCAACAAGGACAGGCTTGTCTCCTTAGATGAGTTCCTGGTGGCCACAAAGAAAAAGGAGTTTCTGGAGCCAGAGAGTTGGGAGGTACAAGATTTGTAAAATCACAAGAAATCTGGTTTTACCAACATCCAGAACAAACATTAATCTGACACATATATGAATGAAACAATTAAAGTTTACTTGAGCTGAGCTTGTTCAGTTGTGTTTTGCACCTCCATCCTATATTTTTGTTAATATTGATGTCTTGTTAGACTCTGGAACAAAACCAAGCCTACACTGATGAGGAGATGAGGGAATTTGAAGAGCATCTGGCCAGGGAGGAAAAAGACCTGAACCAGAAAACGATAGACCTTCAGAAACAAAAAGAAGAACTGGAGAGACAACAAGAGCAGCTAAATGCACAGAAACTGGAACTTCAGCAGGTAACAAAAATCACACTGTAGGTCATAAACTAAGACATAACTAAAGTGGCAAGTCAGTTATTAGTAACCAGCATCTTCACGTTCTGTTGTGTGTGCAGTGTCACTGCAGCAAAGCATTTCATTTTGTCTGGTGATTGTAACACTGGAAAAAAAAAAATCAGGAAAACCAGACAACTATGAAAAACCAACCTAATATTAATTAAATGCACAAATGAAAGTGTCATATTTGAACAACCAGTGTCACTGTGTTATAATATAGAAGTTAAAGAAAAAGTTCAGATATTTCACTGGTATTCATGAAGATTAAAAAAAACACCCTGAAATGAAGGACTGTGGTGCTGTGGCTTGTACTTTTACACAGAATCCAGGTGAAGTCAATGAAAGTATTCTCACCAGATATGAGAAATTTGTAGCTGGCAGCGTGGTGTTTGAGGGCAATAGAAACTTGGAGGCTGATACTTAACGTGATAAGAGAAGTACAGCTCTGATGAACGGTCACATGTCATCATCTGTCTAAATGAATAAATGATAAAAGTGTCATCCAAGCAACTACGTGTAAATGCTGATATATAACTGACACGATTATCTAGCACCCAGGGAAATACCCCCTGAACAGATATGAATAATTGAGGCATATCATGATTAATGCAAAAGTCAATGCACTTAGACTTCCACTATATTGTACTATGTAAGGTTGTTAGAACTTTCAGCAGAAATAATCTATAATATAGTAATGTATTCAATTCCCAAACATGGAAGCAAGGAATTTTATGAAAGGTTTCGTATTGGGAAATTTTACACCCATTAGACTTGCAGTCAAGAGCCTTCATTCAGTTACAAAAAGCAAAACTGAGGGATATCGGTCAGGAATGCTTGTGATCCATCTGGGGCCAAGCCTCTCACTGGACAAGATCTTCCAGGGCTCGTGTAGCATCTCTGCCTCCATTATGTGCTGTCATGGCTACTTCAGCAGAAAGCAAATTCATGATTCTCTGACCTTCAGTCAGGTCCACTTGGTAATACAAAACTCACCGCTCATTGGACATCTGACGATAAGCTCTAATTTCGCCTCTGTTTACCCCCCTTCTGTCACCGCAGGCAGTAGAACACATGGAGAGACTGAAAAGCCAGAGAGCTGAGCCTCCCGTGGATGTTCAAGGTGAGCGTAGACGCTGACGATATAAACTGTCCAAAGCAAATGTTCTGGGCCCACGAGGAAACAATCATACAGTCCCATGGTGAAGTGCCCTTTATTGTATGCTTTTGACTTGTGGAACATAAGAACATAAGAAACAGATGAGAGGCGGCCATTCAGCCCATCAAACTTGTTAGGGAGAATTCAACTAATAGCTTGATGTTGTAAAGTAGATAAAATCTTATCTAGCTCTGATTAAAAGGAACCCAAGATCTTAGTTTACACTACACTAACAGGAAAACTATTCTGACTGCACGCTCTGCAAAGAAGTGCTTTCTCAAATCCAGTTTACAATGTTCTCCCGTTAATTTCCACCTATGGTTACGAGAATAAAGGTTTAGAATACAGGTGTTTTTAAATGAAAAGTATTTCATTTAAACACCCTTGCTTGATGGTTTATGCTCCTGTTTCAGAAGCTGAGAATGCCAATCCAACACCGGCTTTAAACAGAGAGCCTCTGCCTCCAGGTCAACAGCACGACACACCCTTGCACTCCTAGCTGGATCTGAAACACCCCAGAAAGAATCCAGCATATCAGACGAATCATTCAATTCTGCCCCAGTTCACACCAGCAGGCACAGGTACATGGGACCAGAATTCTCCTCTACAGCTGATGTGATTAGAATTTTGGCACCTTAAAATGGCATTCCAATCATTTTGTGTTTCACAGTATCGGGAATTTGCATCCTCCTCTCTGCAGCGACTCAGCTCTCATGGTTTACTATGGTATTGACTGATTTTTAAAACAGACTATCATTCCAGTGCATGATGGTGGCTTTTCAAGTCACCCTCAGTTTCAAACTACGCCTATGAAAGGTCTGAATATGCCATATATCTGAAAGTTTAGTATCTGAGATGCTAATCACTGTTAGCTGAAAATCCATGTTTTTTTTTTTTTTAACTTCAGGGCATTCTCTAAACTGCAGAGTCCCCAGAGAAACAGAAAAGTCAATTTTATCACAAGAAATAACCATAGTTTCAAAGATTAATATCTATGCTGAGGTGGGATTTTTAGTTATTTTGTATTTAAATTATCACACATCTGCCCGAGTACTTTGCAGACGCAGAACTTGTAATATACCCAATTTGGACTGTATCTTTTCTTCTGTTCAGACAAACAGTTTACAACAATCAGCATCATCATTTATCTGAAGTACCTCACTCTATTAGGGCTGCACGATTAATCGTTTTTAATCGCTATCTTGATTCATACCTCTGTGCAATCTCATTCTTACATCCAACATGTTCGCATTAGAGTGGAGATCTGTTGCATCAAGCCAAGCTCTCCCTTTTTCTCCGTTAGCTGTTTCAACAAATGACTGGACTGTGTTACATCACAAGACAAACTACACAGGAGAAGGGGGTAGATTTGAGAATAAATCTAATTCGTGACAAGGTGAAAGAAAAAAGAAAAAGCTTTTAAAACAAGAACAAAATGTTTCAAGAAGACCCTTCTGGTGAGGAAGAGAAAAGAAAATTTTACAACCCTAGTTTGAGCAATAACATTGTGTTCATACCGAATAGGGGTAACATTCACATGTGTTTTTTTGGATTAACACAATGAATTTCTGGTAAAACATTTATTTGAATGTGTTGCAATTAAGAGCAGATGAGGTTTAAGTTTTATGTAGTTGCAGTTGTGTGCCGTTTCGGTTATGCAAAGACGATGCTGCAGTCCCATTTCAGTAATGATCATATTGTCTTCATAAAGGCTATACATTATGATGATGAAGATGATGATAATGATTATAAGAATCATGAAAGAAAATTGCATTTGAAGAGTGGAAGAAAATTATGCACGTTTAACCCTGAATCGTGCAGCCCTAATCACTGTAAAACATCTTAAAAATAGAGCAAAGTTGTTTCACCATCATGGGAAAAGGGTAAAACTTTTCTCCAAAAGATAACAATATATTGAGTATTAAAATTGTGGAATGATTTCAGAAGCGAACATAATATATTTTTTATCAATTCTAAGAGTTGCTGGTATCTCCACAATGGTATCTGATGTCCGACACCATTTCCACTATGATGAAACAGTGAGACTTACTGTCCCGCCATTCAGCATAGTCCCACCCCATGAGGTTTTGCTTGGCTTCCTCTGAGAAGGTCCCCAGTCACAGCTCAGCTGTGCACATAATGCTGGACGTAACTCCTCTACCTCTTTCTCTCTATAAGTTTCCCACCGAGTTGCATTGTCTGAGCAAACTGCCCTTTGGCCCCTTTGCATTATTCAACCCAAAGGCATCTGGTGGAGTGTGCCAAACCATTTCTACAGACGGCAGATTTTGTTGTTTTTTTTACATGTTTTTTTTTTATTCTCCCTCTTTGATTACCCTTACCTTACAAAGTCAAAATGCTTTACTTTACCATTTGAAAATAAAGTAATTTAAGGCTTTCTTCTTGTTTTATTGTTTGTGTTCCAGAATTCACTTCGCGTACGCTTAATGTATTCACATTCTTAAATCAATCGAAGTGATTCTTACAAGGAAAAAGTACTAATAGGAACACTTGAATTTTTAAACAGAGCACTTCAAGAAGTTGTCTCCATTTTCCCATATGAGTCATTAAAGCGTTCCAAACTGTAGGCCCACGACTTCACTGGAGGATATTTGTTTGATCCGTCGCAACAAGTTATGGTGACGTCATCATCTGGATGCGCAAAGAAAGCCACAGACTGTCTGGTACTTACATCACCAGGAGGGGGCAGCAGAACCCTGTGCTTCTACAAAAAGGCAAATGAAACATTCTCATGTCTGCAAGTTCCAAATATTTTCATATGTATTTCAGAAATAATGGGGTTCAATGGCAGTATTTACAAATATGGTCAAAAGACAGATGTCAGTGTGTGTGGTTCAGCCTCACCGCTGACATGAAAACGTCGCTTGTCCATCTCTGCATCAAGTCTGCAATGTTGATCAGAACTGTGCCAGGAATGGCAGGTGCATCTATGTACTCCCCAGACCTGTTCATAACCTAATACACAACAGCAGGAGGGTCCAGTCACTCCACATGTCAGTCCCCTGCCATAAAGAGAACAGCGCCCCCTTTTGGACTGGGCCATTGCTCCCCCTACATAGTCCTGCACGGTTACCTGCAGGCCTCCTTTGCTGTCCTGGAACAGCAGGGTGATGCTGCCGTAGTCAGAGTGCTCCCCACACCGCAGCTGCCCCTCTTTCACCATCTCATGTCTCACGGGGGGGTAGTGCAGGATCCGCAGGGTACTCTTATTCAAATCGCCTACAGGACAGCACACCGACCATATAAATGCCAATAACATCTGTAATAAAGCACTATTCATACAAGGTTAACATAAAAACCAGCAGGCCAACCTCTGACACATTAAAAAAAGACCCTCAAACTGATTCTTGATAAATCAGAGACCCGGCTAGTCACAACATGAGTTCAGACTCTGTATAATATATAATCAGCATTATTAGTCAGATATAAATTGCTGATTAAGTTCATGCAGATAAATACAGGAAACAAGAACAGAAAATGGAAGAAAAGAATGTCAGTGAGAAAAATAAAGAGAGAGCAACAAGAGTTCAATATTTTTTCTGCGGTATCAAATAAATTACATAAACATTTACATTACATTCAGTGATCTACTTGTTAAGATCCAGATTAGTGTACAGATGATGTACGGCTGCTCTACTGTGCATAAGACAGTTCTCCCATGTATTTCTCTAGTAAGATAAGCGACTGCAGCCTGTACTCACTCCCTATGCCCTTGTGTGAGTTGACAAAGATGTCCACGTCAATGTCCAGACTCAAGGCCATGACTCTGAGCACTCGGAGGGACAGATCTTTACACCGCATGAAGAATGACTCAATAGTCTGGCGGAAACCTGGTACCACGTCCTCTGCAGGCCAGGCCTGGAAATTGACAGAATTATAATATAACCAGTGTGTGAAATACAGGGGGGGGGGGGTCTGACACCCCCGATTATCCCGCGAGACCCCCTGAAAGCCTCAAAAGCAAAATTTTAAGGGGGTCTCAAGATTG